AGTCCCGTCACCGTCCGACCAGTCGTAAGCCGCCATCGAGGATGAAAACACCCCGGCACGCCTAGTTTGAACTGACGGGTCGGATGAGAAGGGGCGTTGCAGTGCTAGCCCGTCGGGGATCTATGGAACCCAAGGGGAGAGACACCCGCTCCTGGGAGTCTGGGACCTTGAATCCATGACCGTCATCCCTCCAAGGCTCCAAGCCTCAAGCCTCCCCTTCCCCTAGCGCGTCAAGATGGGCACGTGCATCTTGCGGCTTGCCTTGCATGTTTTGGTGGTTTCCGAGAAAGTGCCACCCACCTGGCTGCCTGCCATTGATGATTGAAGACACAATACTATGTATCCGTACGGAGTACGCATACGTACACAATGGTGTGTGACCGATAGACCCTCATGTCTGACAGCTTGGGAAGGAGAAACTTGCATCTCAACCACAACATGCGCCTCTGATACCGAGACAGCTGATGACTGGCAATATCGTGGAAATAAGACAATAATGATTCGCCTGTTGCTTGGAGCCCACACTGCACTCGGAAGCATCGTCGAGTCGTTTGGTTTAAAGCGGAGCGAAAAACTTTCCAACTATCGTACGAAGTACGGTCGATACCTCGTACTCCGTCCAGAAAGATACAAGGTGAAAAAATAAGATGCGGAAAGCACAGACTTTGGAATGCCTACGATCTCCATCGGGGTCTTGGTCTCAGGGCGCAGAAGAACTTTGAGAGAAGCACGGAGATGGCTCCGCATGAGGGAAACCCTAGTCGGGCAGTACGTACTCGTTCGAGAAAGCAAGCTGCTGCCAGGTAGGTTGTCGGCAGAACCTTAGCAGAGGACTATGATGCGATGTATCCATATGCTTCTATCGCTTCTCCAACGCCATACGCGGTATACGAATAGAAGCCAAGCAACGAAACCCCGCTTTGCGCTCGATACCCAGTTCAAATGGCGAGACACCAGATTGAATCTGTGGTGCTTGTTTGACTCACGCTTGTCGACCAGACCATGCTTTTTGGCGTCTACCAGACTACCATGAAAGAGGAGGACTGTATCCGTAGTTCCTGACTGGGCATCGGCATTGGCCGTGAGAGATCGTACGGGTGCGTGAGCATTACCTAGTCTAGATATCGGTAGGAAGACGTCTGGACGGAGTACGTATGCCCATGCTGTACATGGACAATTTCGAGCCCTGTTGAGCGACAGCTCGAGGTACGAAACGGAACGTTGATTGTTTGCAGCCTTCCTTGGGGTCGAATGGGGCGTATGCCAAGGAGGTGTGGGAGCATCGACTGACAAGCCGCTTTCCAAAAGGATGGTAGGTGGGACGGATGGAAGCGGATCCCAGATCTCGCTCAACCGACGGGGTTGGTTTGCAGTTCTGCCCACACACCCCCTTGGCCCTGGAGGGTGGTTTGCGGAGACAGCGGCGAGGGACGGTACGGATACGTATATTCGAACGCACGCACAGGATGTGTGAGTTGCGGCTTTGGGATTTAGATGTGGGTGGTGTGGGTAGCGTATCGCTTTCTTGTCTCTCCGTCAAGCGTCAACAATAGACGGAATGGGGTCGCAGTTTGTACGGCGTACCCGTACGGATAGGGAGATATTGAATGACAACTGCGGGAGAACGAGGCAAAGGCCAGGGACCGATTTGACAGAGTTGCCGCAGGTCATCTCATTCCTAAGCGACAGCCGAATAGCAATGCTCCACACACCGGGCACCACAGCTTATGGGCTACCTAGGCAGTCTCATGGTTTCGCTAAGACTTTCTTGGTGAGGGAGAATAGCTTTGGGATGCACCCTTTGATTCTTGTGTGGTGCAAGCTGAGTCTGATGAGGAGCATGAATCGAGTGGAGGCGGTGGATGCGCATGTCCTGGATGGGAATAGAGTGGTGGCAGCCTGATATCCATGGGCCGTGTTGTTGCAGTGAGTGGTGAGTGGGTATTCGTTGATGGCTTTTTTTTTTTGATGCTATCCGGAGATGCAGGCGGCGTACGAAGTACTCTGTTCACACTCACCAGTCATCCCAAGGGGTCCGGCCGAGATTGTCTTGATGGCCCGGTCATGCAAGCATAGGCTTGAGTCGTAAACGTGGGTGTCATCGGTCATGAGAGGAGAAGAAAAAAAGTTGCGTAGACGGGTCTATCGATATATCCGCATCGCGGGGGGCTTCAGCCAGTGAGGTGTCGATGTGGCAAACCGTCATGGTTTCGGCAAGCCGGTGAGGGCAAAGATGTGTTGGCAACATCAGCCCGACTCCCGAGTGGGCAAATTGCGGCAGATTGGGACATGGGATTGCGAAACCTCCGATATGGATCATGGATGTCGACGCAGAGGATGTGAGAGACGCTCACCCAGCCAGCGGTCGAGTAATAATTAACAAAGGCAGTTGGTCTGTGAATAAGAGGACGGTTCAGGGTTGGGCGGCATCACTCAGCCTGCTTAGCGAAGAGAGTACAGTGTACTGACTGTTTAGCTGGTAAATGCATTGGGAAAAAAGTATACCGGTACGCAGCCATCTCCATTTTCTTTCTGAGCTTGGCCCCTCCTTCATGCCCGGTCGGTACTGTGAGTCTGTGACAAGAGTCAGCTGTCACCCAGGGCGTGGTGTGCAAAGCATGAGCTGTAGGGTGCCGAAGGTCCAGATTCCACAGGCATGGGCATGGTGTCTGGGTGCAATGAATGAAAAAAAGCAAAAAAAGGAAAGGCGGAGAGAACAAGAGGAAGATGAGGGGGGTAAGAAATGCCAAGCCGGCGAGGAGCGGTTCATGGCAGGCCGCAGTGGTAGCAGTAGCAGTGTGGCACAGGTTGAAAAGAACGGAAGGAGAAGAAAAGTTATGAAGGTGCGACATTCGTACCTCGCGACTCCTCGAGGAAAGAGAGACGGGATGAATGTGCGACAAGGTAGTCGATACTCAGGATTCAGTGACACATACATGGAGGCTGATGTAGCCGGAACTTTGATCATGACCCCCTTAGTCCAAGACTCCAAGGAGCTCCAGCCCCCGGGAATATGAGAAGGAGATAAATCCAATCCACCCCGATCCGCAACAAATATAGCATCGCTGCCGCCGCCAATATGGACACTATCCGTACAAAGTGTTGCGCATAGGTAGTAGGGCGATACAGCAGCACGAACAGCCAAGGCCAGCAGGGACGGGCCCAAGTTTGTTTAGGAGGGCTCCTGATTCCTGACAGCGCAAAAGTAAATAAAGACAGACAAGGCGAGAAACAGCATGGGTCCAGACACAACAAGGCTCAAAGGTGGAAAGAAGGAACTTGGACATACCTAAGCCAGAAAAGGATCCAGGGGCCCAGGCCAGGGTCGGGTAGGTAGGTGGTAGGAACGGATCCTTTGTCACTCTGTCTCCGTACTCCGTAAGGTAGTTGGAGTCGAATTGGAGACCACAAGTTCTGTGCTGCGACCTGACTTGCCGTAATTGTCTAGCGTCTCCAGACTCGTCAGTTGCGTGGGCAGCGGCAGACTGGGTGACTGGACATTTTGGAGAAAGAAAGAAAAAGCCAAAGAGGGAACAAAAAATTAGATCCGGAATCGCCCCTCCCCATCCGAGCAGAAGTCAAAAGGCTGCTGCAGTTAATAACGGCCCCCACCCTCTCCGCCGTACCCAGGCACAGAAAATGAAGGAGGAAGTACAACTAAAGTGGGCGGCGATAATGATATTCCACGCATCTGTACTTCGTACTCCGTATGGAGTAGTGCATCCATACTTGATTATCATCAGTGATCGCTCCAAGCGTCGAAGCGACAGAGCAAGGAGAGGATGAGAAACAGAATGTTCAGAGAGACCTCGTGATGTGCACGTAGTGTACATTGCATCGTCGCACACTCTGATAATACACTCAGGTACACGTAGCGTCACAGAACTACCTAGGTTGGTGGGTACAGCAAAAATGACCGAGATGCACCGCAGTAGCTTCCGGATATTGAGGATGGAACTTGAGGTTGGTAACTGGGGAAAGTAAGTCAGCAGAACGTATCCGTACCACCAAGTTTTGAGCAGCTGCCCATAGCGCCAGAAGCACTTGATCTAAGCAGGTAGCCCGTACTCGGTATCTCACTCTGTGAGCGGATTTGGTTGCCACGGAGCGTACACAGTACACTCACTACGTGAAGGGGCCGCAGTGCAGGAGGATGGCGCCAAAAAGGACCAGAGCAAAATCATGTTCTATCCTCAGGCAGCAACACCACCCGAAGGGGCACTTGCTTTGCTGTATGCCGCTAAGGCTAAAGAGACTCAGAGAGGGAAAGGACAGGCAGTACGGAGTACGGAGTACCTACTTCAATTTCAGCCTCAGGCATGAAGCCATCAAGCCTGGTGGACTGATGCATTCCGCAAGACTCGAGGGAAGCTCCAACAAAAGACTTCAGCTAACGTAACTGGGCACCACGCTTTTTCCACGCACCACGCACCACGCACCACGCACCACACCTTGACCAAACTGTATTCGTATGGATACCAACAATCTGCATGCCCGTCACTGGTGTATCCATGGCCCATGCCATAGATGGAGACGCCTGTCACCTAGGCGAGCCCGCGATTGGAGAGTTTGGACCCATACACCACCACAACTCAGCACCCCGTCCCTAGGCCCGGTAATCTTGTCTCTTCAGGCCATGTTCCAACTTTCAGCGCTTCTTTCGACCCTGTCAATGGAGCACACCAGCACATTCGGTACTCAATTTCACCGACAACTCCCCCAAGCCGTGCCTACCCTTCCTTCTACAGGGTACACGCTTCCCTTCTGAAGGGGGGGGGGGGGGGGGGATGCGTCCCTTGCGATGGTGTGGACGCCAATACTGGGTCAATATCGGTGGCATTTGGGCAAGCCGACGGCCTGTGACAGCGAACTCTTCTTCCGCCTTGGCTGCCCTGTGGTATCAGGCACCGTGCCCCGAGCCCACGACTACCTATTGCGCTGGGAACTGGGCTCCGGCCGATCTCCCCTCACGCCCCGCCTTGAGAGCCTACCCGTAGCAAGCTCCTCCGTCCATTGCTGTGCTTCACGCCACTCCTTTCCATCTGAGGACACCGACACCGGAACGTACGACATGGACGCGCATTCAAGGTCTGATGGGCCAGGTCATTGGTGTTTTACCTGTCATTGCTGACTCTTCAAGGCAGCCTTGCTCAAACCCCCTAGACTTCAAACTCGAGGAAATTCGTAAACATCAGACCAAAAATGCCGTATCAACACTATCCATACGTCGCACTCTGGAACCAATTTACAAAGCACTCCAAAACCTGATATCTACCTACCAGCAACCCTTTGGGAGTTCGAAGACGAGAGGGCCGGATGTCAGGCACACGCTGGGCATTGCGGGCTGTGCAGGAAATACGGTCCAGCTGGCCCAACGGGTTCATTACAGCCTCCTTGTCTACGGAGTACGGATGGTGCGCACTACGAAGTACCTCACAGCTCATCCATAATCTACTCCGTCGGTGGTTGACAAGCCAGGCAACTTCCGGACATTGCAGGCAAGACTTTGGCATCCGCTCTGGCAGACTGGCACGCCGCACGCTGGCAAAAGGGTCCGCGTCCCACCTGTCCCTGTTCCCAGACAGCTTCGAGAAGCTTGAAGTGGGCATACCGCAGGTGATCCGAGATCGAAAGTCTTATCCGCTCCAGGAGTCTAGAAGAGGAGATTATGGTCAGGGAATCCACGGTATCGATAAAGCGGTGGATATCATCGGTGGAGAGGCCCTGCCACCCTGGTACTCCCCAGGGCCAATTTCCACGTCACTCCTCCCTTTGGGTGGTCAGCGGTTATACTGCGTGACTGCGTAGATCAGCTTCCGCAGATGCCATTCCTCTCAAAGCCTACCCTGGCCTGCCCGGCAAGCGCTGAATCGCATCAACCATCAAAGCACAGGCATGACAGGGACTCCAGGCCAAGGTACCACGTTGATATGGATCAGCAAGAATCGCCAGCTCGCGTTCGCTCATTCGCTCCCTCGCCTCGTTGCAATCTCATGCGGCAACAGCATGAACTTCCCTCGATGGTTACAACGGGTGACGTCCACCAGTGGCTCTTTGTCTCTCCGTTTCTGTGCGCCTGCGGCCTTACTCTCGTGGACTCCATGGCCGCCATCGACTTTATCGTCCTATTCCGCTGGGCTACCTTGGCCAACACTACGAAGTACTCCGTATGGAGTACATACGTACGGATATACGGGACTGTGGCGCTATGGATACAGATCCAGGACAGGCGTCCATTTCACGTCCTCGCATTTATCTTACCAGCAGCCTCAGCAGCAAACCCACTTGAACCGGAGGACCTCCCTCTTCTATGCTTTCCCACTTCGCTAGGAGTGGCGGCCTGGACTGGTCTATTTAGTCATTCTGTTGCTCAACATGCTCATTTCCAGGCATGCCACCAAATCCACCAGCCATCGGCATCCGCCTGGCGCCAGGCGCCCTTCAATTCAGTCTTACTTTACGGATACCCATGCCCAGCCGTCGGGCAACCACTTCAGCGTGTGTGTGTTGGGCCGCACTTTGGAGGACTCCCTACTGATACATTGGTCACTCGTGGTTGAGAGTGCAAGTGCCTGCTAGTCCAACCGCCAGTGACCCTTTGATGTGGCCATCTATGTTTTTCGATCAACAACTCTGAAGGACCGACACGGCAGGCGTGGCCTCGACATTCGTTACAAATACCGTGCGCCGTACATATATCATGGTCGCACCGACCCTGACAGTCCTGAATCAACTCGCTTCTCTCTACTTGACTGCTTGCAGTCAGGTTAGGTTGGAGGTTAGTGTTTCCTCCGACATGATTACCGAAGATGCATATATGCATCCGGTTTGGACCCTCCTGCTACGTATCCGTACGAAGTACATGACCACTCGAGTCTCAGTTTTCTGTCAGGGTGCCGGCAGTCCGCCAACACGTATCCCTGACGCGCTCTCGAGGGGGCCGGGGTTGGCTCAGGGTCTCCGCCTTCTTCGTGTCCTGCGGCTGCAACTGCTGCAGCGTGCACTCAGGCCGCACCTTGCAGCCTGCATACGCACTTAGGTATTCCGTTCTTTTGCGGGCTACAACGATAGTCCGCGACGCACACACGCACACTAGCACACGAGACACTTCGCACGTGACCTCGTTGTCGCCTCGCTCGCTCGCTTTCATCGTTGGTTTTCCTTCCCTCTTCGTTTCATCCAGACGCTATCAGCGGTACGTGATCGAAGGCTCGTAGCCTGTAGGTGCCAAAGCTGTTCAAAGTTCTAACTTTTCGGAACACGCCCTCCACCCCTCCACCCCTCCCCAGTTGGTGATGACGGATCCCTCCCGTTTCCCGGCTGAAGTCTTCCTGGTCTGATCAGACGAATCCTCACATGAGAAACGATGCTTGGACATCATCTTTGCAGCAACATAATCAGGTGCCACGCAAAGTTTACTGCCCAGCCCAGCTGCCTTGTCGCCCTCACACACCTCACCTTCGTCTACCTTTACCAACGAAGTACATCTGATGTCCGGCGCATGTCTTCCTGGGAAACCTGCCCCATGCTACCACCAGCGTCACCCATTCCAACGTTTCGGCTGACGCTGAGTCTTGGGAACATTCCATCCGCTTGATTGGCTGCATTGTTGGGCCAATGGACAGTAATGCTAAGTTTCGACGTCTTGCATTACACCGTCACGCCGAATCGAAGGCATCGTGCCGCGTGCGTGCCTTTCTCACCCAATATAGGCTTCGTCGATGCACACTCCATATCCCAGAAGCTTCCCGATACCCGGCGAGCTACCGTCAGACTTGGTTGAATCATCTCTGGAGCCTTGACATCGCTTTCTACGCAGTATCCTACTCAGCAGTACGGAGTAGCACTTACCAAACTCCGTGGCCCTGTCCTGGTTCATGACCAAACCAGTATACGGAGTATGCGTCACTTCTCTGCCACGTAATTGGCAACAGACCTTGAAGAGGCAGCATGCCGATCATCCATCCTGTCTCGCTACCCACTCAACCTTTGCGGGCGGTAGGAAGGCGCAAGTCTCGTTTCGTTGGTATTCCTAACGTCAGGTAAGGTAGGTAGGCCAACTGGACAGCCCTCGGTAATTCGAAAGTAGACGCCCTGCAAGCTGGTGGCCTTCAAGGTGGTGGACCACCACCTGCCTGGGAAGGCGAGATCTCTTCAATTTCCATCCCTCTCCCTAGAGGTTTGACGAAACGGAGCCAGAAACGATTCGCTAGCGGCGGTGTGAAGCTTATGGACGGAGGTATGGACAATGATCTAGTCGGTCACTACAAAACCCAGCCGATGCAATGGTGGCCCTAGGCTCGACACTCGACTTTTCTATGGCGGCACCGTGCCGCTTTCACCTACTGTGTACGGATACCAGGTAGGTGCAACAACCCGCTAACAGAATAGTCTCGCGTTCAAAAGTGCCTCGTCACCTGGCTCACTCTCTGACCAGTGAGCACATATACTCTACTTTATGTGTCTACCCATGGGCTAGTGGCCCATGCACGGAGTAGTGCTCGCTCGCCAACTTTTCAGATCAGCATGGCGAGCCATGTCGAAGCGGCAACCCTGTGAGGTATGTAGACATATGTGCGGAGACGGCTGATCAGAATCGGCCTGACTGCCGCCGAGTACCATCTGCTCTCCGTGTCTCTCTACGGATACAGGGCACTACTGCCAACATTCCGCTGTTGGCGTTCGGTCACTAATATTCCCTCGGCTCATAGGGGTGTACCGTGAGCCCTGAATACTTTGAAACCTAATGCAACACTCTCTGCGCACATCCGCCTGCCTAGGACAGCATGATCTTCGGTGGAATATACCACTCACCCTGGACCTTCCATCTTGTCCTTGGCAGCGGTGGCAGCCAATTCGGCCAAGACTTTCACTTCGACTCATCTATCCGGCTACTAGCACGGTACGCAGACCACTGCTGTGCTATTCAAGGGCGGTCACAGCCAGGCGAGACCTTTTCAAAGCCTGAGCCATTGAGCCCTGTCATTCCCTCTGGCCGGGTCACACGGCTACTATCCGTGGACCACTTGGAGTTGTCACAGATGTCGTCCATCGGCGGATCTTGTCACCGACTCACCATCTCCCACCACCCAACATTGCGCATCACCGGGGCACTTTATCTAAAGTCTCGACCAAGTCGGGCTTACGCCCCTGGACTTCTCGCGCCTCCGTCGATGATTCGATACTGACTAGGTACCACTACTCATAGCCCACATTCCCTTTCACACGTTCCACTTCGGACAGCGAGTACTTTCGTCCTTTTCACGGCTTCCTCCCTGTTGGTAACTGGACGAGTGATGAAAATCCCTCGCTCTCACGTCCTCGCTCACGTACCAATACGAAGCGGTGATCAAGAGCAGGACGCACGCACGCAGGCTCCCTATCTCAGCCACATTCTGTGGGGGGTCGCCCAAGTTACCTATGGCCAACAGCCTCTGTCTGCTACCTATACTAGGCTCAGCCGCGCCACAGAGACGCGTGGCTGGTTGAAGCCCCCTCAATTGACGACGAGAACGACGACATGGATACGGTTCCTTGATGCCAGAGAACTCCCGTTTTCTCGGGCGGCTCGGTGCCCTTCGGACAGCAATCATCGCTCCTTCCCTGCGCTTCATGTGTCGGGACCAAGTACTGGAGGCCAGCGATCCGGTTCCTTGTCAGTCAGCGGAAGTCTGTCCGACCATATTTGGTTTCGTGCGCCAGGCCACTTTGAGGGCGTGGCTGGCTAGACAAAAGCCAACTTGCTTCCGCGAGATGATCAGCATGCAAGTTTCCCCATTCGCGCACGATTGACGAGTCTTGGTCCCCGTCCAATGCATTATCCATACGTACGGATAGGTACCTGGGCCGTCTACGAAGCATTCGGTCTGGATGTGAACCAGACAAGAAAACCCGCACGCACGCACGGTCAACACAGCTAGAGTCTGGCCGATCTTGACTTTGACTGCTCAAGTTCGATGCTCCAGCTCCACCGCCGACCTCAGCCATCTCAATAGGTACTCACTGCTTCGACGCTCAAAGCCGTATAGACCAGCATGGACGTACTGTAAGGATACAGAGGTACCTCTCGCAAGGGGGAAGGACAATACCTGGCGGTGTGCTTCACATTTCATAAGTTGCAGAGCTTTTTCATTGAATGCAAAATACAGCATTGAGTTGGAAGCATCAGCGAGGATGGCACAAAGCAATTCCCGCCAGGTGACTACAATCCAACCTGTACGTTGCATAAAACGGGGCGTCAAGCTCTAGATTACTACCACAAATGGGCTCGCGACTAACTAGCAACAGCCGCATATCACTGACGTGTTTAATGCTAGTAAGGAGACCTTCCGGACTTCCAAGGTCTCATGGCGACAATATCACCGTCGAGCTAAATAGAGAGCCCGGGCGACGCTCGGCCGTTTGTGCTCAAGGGGTGGCCAACTGTGTCTTGTTTGGCATTCTTTGAGGAACACAACCAGGCGCCGGGCAGAGCAGTCACTCCAGTCAGGGCCTCGGTGAAACCGGGGCCTAACGACAAAAACACTTTAATGCGCAAAGCTGTCATGTCGGCTAGCCAGGCTTGCAAAAGTCAGGGATCTTAGGGGTCGGCTTTGGTGGGCCAAGCTCTCTCTATACATACTAGTGGGCAGTCCGTCCTATGGTCTGCAAAAAGATGAAAATGAAACAGGGCAGGGATAACAGCCTTCTCAAGGTCGCTTTGAGGTTGTCGACTAAGAACCCGCCAACCCTCGAACCAGCCCTGGTAAGGTCAGTTCCACCAGATGATCTACTGTTCACGCGCGGGCCACCGAAAGAACCCCCTGAAGACTGATTGGGCGTTCTGCATGGATGGGGGAACTTGACAGAAAGCACCGACCATCGGGACGATACAACGGGGCGAGACGGCGCCATCCACAGCCGTCCACTTCTTTGAGCATTCTTCGGATTCAGAATCTCAGACTGCCCCCAGGCGGCTCGGTTCGCGAGAGTACGGATAGCTACGGATACAGGTATCTCTTCTCGACCCGGCGGATATACCATGAGCAACGCTTCGGCCAGTACAATGCAAAGAGACCCAAGCCTCTCACTTGGACCATTCGTCAAGAACTTGGGTACAAAGGTGCCATTTACCGTTCACTACACCATGCGGCGGCAATTGCAGCTGCCCATGACGATCTAGTCCGACCGAATGCGGGAACCAGCACACACACACACACACACACACACACGCACACACAATTCTAGACATGGGGCATGATATGGCCATGGCTTGTCATCCAGCGAGCTAAGACCCCGGCCCTAGTCCCGGCCCCAGCGATTCCAACGTGCTGAAAGATGCCAGGGATTGGTTCGGAGATGATGAGTCCCTTGTCAGGTAGGAAAGGAGAGCGTCAGTCGCCTAGCGTGATCCAGCGGGGCCTGGCTTGGGGATGGACAAAAGTATCCGGCTGGTGCCACTCTTTAACCAGTGCCATGGGCTCAGCACTCTTTGCGATTTTAGCGGCTGTCTGACCGGGTGATGGCAACCAAGGCGTTCTTCACGGTGGAGCGGCTGGACCGGGGATGGTTTGGCTGCCGGACTCTCTCCGGTGCGTCCTCTGTTGCAAAAGTCTTATTGTGCAGTCCCACTACTCCCTCGAGCGTCAGCATTCTGATACCTGGACAGAGGAAGCAGGCGGACGAGTCGACATATCATGTGCTACGCGAGCGAAGCTATGGATACATCGAAAACAACTCAAGCTTACGAGACTCGCAGGAGCTAAGCCATGAGCACTTGGCTTCAAACCCAGACACTGACAGTCATTTCCAGCAAACGAGGGCCCATCCAAGGCCAGCTGGATCCTACGATCTGGATCAAATCATCAAAGCAACCAGGCAGAAGATATGGGAACTCAACAAGTTTAAGGTGCAGATCATGACTCGTCACAGCACGAGAGGCGGCTCCCGTGAGCCGGACGCAGAAAGTCACGATGAGATATGCTTGAAAGTTGAAGACAGTGGCTGCATCTATTTGTAGAGGTGGCACCGGCTGGTCCAAGGTATTCGATACCTCGATCTGGCCAGCAAGCACAGAGCTTCGAGGCAGAGGCGACACGTACCGACGACTCGACGTTACGGCAAACTAGTGTGCCTTTGGTTTTCTACGTGCGTGTCTATCCGCACGTAGAGACCTCGCCGATCTCAGCGAGTGAAATGCGGGGCTGAGGAGGAGGGATGGCTTGGTTGGGAAAAGGAGGGGTGTGGGCACGTAACGTCGATGAGGATGAGGCAGTGAAAGACTTGGGTTTTCTGCCCTTTTCAGTCTTCACCACCCCTTCCATGCGCTAACGAGATCAGTCTCACCCTTACCGGTTGCCGCCGCCGCTAATTGAGCCAGCCATCACCGCCATGACTACCGCTGTCCAATGCTACCCTGACGATTTCGTTCCCTTCGACTGGCTTGATGCCACGCCCCCCTCCCCGGTTGAAGCTCGAGTTACCGGTATTCGACACTTCACACCCCATCTTCTTGAATCTTCCCAGTGCCAGGCACGCCAACAGAGACTGAAGGCGCCATGGGCGGTCGGTCCCACTATTTACTAACCGTCCTTCGCCCCCACATCTTCGCTCATCCCCGCTTGCTCGCCTGGGTTTCTCTTCGTCCCACGAGACACGGTCGACATGAGGCTGTTACGGATACAACTCACTAGCTGTGACCAACGCTCAAATTTGCTGCCACTAGCTTTGCCACACAATCCGCGCTCTTCCGTTCGCTGTCACCACCACGACCACCAAGCACAAGCGGGCGTCCTTCGATCGACGAAGCTTTGGGAAACTATCATGGTAGGTGTGTACTCACTACCCAGTCATCAAGCCCTTGTCGCACAGCAATCGCAAGTAATCGCGGCCAGGATGGATGGCTGACTGACTGTATCCAGTGTGCCAGTGTCATTGTTGCATTCCATCCGTTTAACTTTGCTTTTCTTCTTCCGCTAGGTATCCGCATGTTCCTGATGGTCTACTTGGTATTACCTACCACTCCGTAAGTAAGCCCGTCCTTGAACACATAGGTATCCAACATCGATTACAGAGACGCCCCCTTCGGCCCCTCGGTCAGACAATCTGCCATGCAGTGCTTGCTTTGCTCTATCCTTGAAAATGGGAACGGTGGTGCCATGTTTACCCCTTACAACCAACCCCTGAGAAAGGCGACCTGCAGACTATCTGCCCGGTCTTACAGATGCGGTTACAGGAGCTTCGATGGAACAGTCGACAGTGAAATGGCTCAGCTCCGTCGGGCTCAGCGGGCTCGTTTCTAAAGCTGCAAAAAAGCCTGACAAAGCCAGAACGCCTGTCCTTGCTCACAGTTTCTGGTACCGTGGTCTCAAAGTCGGCAAACCGGCCCCCCTACTATTGGTCTGTGGGCGGAAATCGCTACACTACATCATAATGGACGATTCAAGGTTTTGCCACCAGGCACCGCCCACCGCCCGCTCAACTTCATCCCAAAGCTGTCAAACAAACGAACATCCAGACAAACCCGCTTCCTTCCGTCAGGGGCTACTGTTCTACGGGTTCGCTCGTGAGCGACTTTGCTACAACAGTTGACTGTATTCCGCCCTCGACAACACTTCTCTGCATCTCCCGAGAGACTGGAGATTTTCATCTGCACGCCAATACTTGCATCAATGCCAACATTCCCAGCAAGACGCACGAGTTGCAGCAGTCGGTCACCCTTGGGTGCTTGAGTATAATTACACCAGAGCCGAGGAGCAAAGATGAAGACAAGCGCATGCCTAGCTTGGTGATGGATGGACCGACCCCGCCCGGCATACTTGAATCTTCAGGCCTGCAAGAGGGGAACGTCATGATTTGTTGACTGTGACGACCGCAAAGATTTGCAGCCCCGCCGTTGATGTTGACTCTCGTACGGCACCATTCGGCACCGCAGGAGAAACGACGGAGACTCGGGGCCATATGCGTTGTGCATCCGTACGAACCCGGCCATGCTCTACGGAGACTTGGACTTTCCCATCTATTCTCACAAGACCCGTGATATAGAAACACGAAGAAACAGAGGCAGCTCCACCGACTACTTTTGAGGAAGAGCACAATAAACAAGGCTCTTGAATCGCCGCAGATCGACAAACAGGCCGTCGTCCCCACTCACTGCATCAACAATCGCCCATCCATCCTCTCTCGTGAGCTGACCAACGTCGTAGGAAGATTTTTTATTGATTTTTTTCTTCTCTTCCTCATTTCCAGGCTCTGGCTCCGCAACCGAATCCAGAGAGATGTGACAATTCTCTGCCCCCGGCCCCCTTTCCCAACAAGGTCACTCTGTCCATCTGTACGTTCAGTCACCCACACGGCCTCGCTGCAGCAGATTCATACGAGGGAGACGAAATTCTCGCGACAAACTTCGCTGGGCGGCATGTGAGGACGTACACACAGAGGTACTGTAGCAACGGCCCATATATTTCACTTCTCCCCGTTTTTGCCTGCGCAGTAGTCTCCGATTAGGTCTGGGGGCCAAGCGGCATGCCACTATCAGCTGCAGCAGGCCACATGCAGCCTTGTTCGCCGTCGCAGGCCCCGCGTGAGGTGCGCCATCTTCAAGCTGCATCGAAGCATCGGCGGCGCATAAATGCAGGTTGGCCCGACCTGTCACCCCTCCACTAACAACAACGAGCGACGCCGACGCGTCCTGGCCTTTGCGGTTGTCCAAATATTAGTGTACTCCCGAGTCCCCCTCCGTGACAGGTTGCCTCCTCCTCGCTTGAGCCTTGCCCACCATGTACACCGCCTCTTGCTCCCCACAGAGCCATAGAGGGTCTTGCAACCTTTCACTCTTGCACAGCTTCGGAACAGGCGCGACCGCCGATGGGTGCTCCATCGGTCCGCTGGCGGGCAAAAGACGGCCTCCTGGCCTGGCTTACCTGACGATTGGCGGGCAGTCGTCCCACCCGCCGAAGCATCCATCTACGGCACCGGGGGGACACGGGGCCATGACCCGGAGTGCCCGCGGCGACAGTTTCAACGCCTAACGGACGGCCCACCGTCAACGCGACCTTTGCATATCCATACGAATATCGTCTCCCAGTCCACCAAACCCCTCTCGCTGGACTTTGAGCGTGGCGAGTGCAACCGCGAAGCCCAACTTGTGCGTCACGTCCCAAGTGTCGACCTGGCAGATCAGTCCGTACAGCATGCCCGCAACGAACGTGTCTCCCGCCCCTACCGAGCTGTTACCCCCATCATGTCAGTCCTGCGCGCCAAGGCGAGTCTTGGGTGTAAAGCGGTGGTTTGGCGAAGCTTACTCGACGACTTGCTTCACCGGCGTCTTGACTGGGCTCTCGACCAGCTGCCGGTCCTTGAGTGATATGCACCATGCTCCCTCAGCACCCCACGTAATCATGGCCAACGACCTATTCTGCAGTCAGCGAGAACGTGTTGCATGACCGGTAAACCCTTGACCGAACTCACGCCCGCGGTAGCGACAGCGACTCTTTTCTCAAACAATCATCAGCGGACGTATACCCGCAGGCCTATGTATGCTACCCTGTCAGTATGCACCGCGCAGTGCTGTGACTGGGCGTGCGCCGATATCTGAGAACGTCACGTACCTCAGCCCAGCTCTTGGAGTAGAAAACCACGTCCGCTTCGGCGGCGAGCTCTCTCAACCCCGCCCTGCCCGGCCTCTCGACCTCGACGCTGACCGTCACCGCATCGTCGCCCAGCGCCCGCCGAAGCGCCCGAATGCACTGCAGCGTCGTCTCCGGGACCCGTCCCTCGAAGTGCCACCACGTCCGTCCGCCTGTTCCGCGGAACGCCTCGACGACGTTGAGGAACTCGTCCGTCGTCATGTCGGGCAGGTCGTTGTGATTCACGATTGTCCGGCTACCCGTCGCCTCGCTGCGGAAGATGTAGCTGCTCGCCGGCGCCTGATGGCCCTCGCGGAACAGGCAGTGGTCAAAGTCGATCCCTACGGCGGCATCTGGGGCTGGCGGGAACGAGGCTGTGATCTGCGCCGTCGCCTGAGATTGACGTTCTGGCAGGGGCGAGATGAGGTGCATCGTCAAAGGGCTGGTTTGTGAATGCGGGAGGTGCTCTACGCGCAGGAGTTGCTGGAGGACTTCCATCGTGTTGGGGCAGTTGCCGCCCCTGCGTACGCGGATGCTCGTGGCTCGTAGCTTCAGGTCCTCTTCTGGGAAGTGAGGTACGCTTGGAAAAAAGAGTGTGAGTAGGATTGCCCCCCTTGATCATTGGGCGGAGGTAGAGCCTTGCCTGAGGACTGTGTCGACGTAGCACGCCCCGACGAGGATGAGATGCTTCATTCTGTGATGTGAGGCCAAGATTGTCTTAAATGCCGGCTATCGTAACGTTCTCGTGCGCCTCGCAAGCAAGGCCAGATTGAATCGCATCCGCCCCAACGTTAAATCGGCAAATGCGACGAGGCGTAGATTTGGTGCACCCCGAGATGCCCTACGACGGTGATTGCATCGAATGTCGCTGGCTAGATGCTTTTCGGCCGATGAAGTTGGCGTTATCGACAGCAACGCTTGGCCCAAGGCTATGCGGCTTGTCGGCTTATCTTTTAACCGCTTAACAATGTCGTGGCATGTAAATGCTCCTGCCGCGTAAAGCCCTGGCGGTTTGCAGAGAGTCGTGAAACTTGAACTTTCATGACCATTTCGTATCATCGTCCCAGCCGTATGAACGTGGTCTTTTGTGAGAGATTGCTAGACCTTCCATGGAGCTGCTCAGAGTGGTGGGATGTGAAGCCGCGGACTCTCCTGGCGGTGTTCGGTCGAAGTCTACGTCGGGCGGGATGTTGTCTCTCCCAGTGCTCTCTTCAACGACCTTTACGTACTGCGTGCCAGGCTGTATCATTTCTGCCAGGGGCTTGATTGAGGTCATTTTCGTCATTTTAATTAATGACTTAGTAAACGCAATCGCGGCACTGGTCGGCTGAGTCTGGTCAGAATGACGATGTGTATTACATCAACGAAGTCGACGAGCCGTTTACACCTTCCAGGCATCGCAGATTTTCATGTATTGCCACGTTTTTTTCCTCACTCATTAGGGGCGGATACCGCATGCTCTATTTCCTGTGTGTAAGGTGGTGGCATTCTACCAGATTGACTCATCTGGCGTGGAAGCCGATTCTGTCCTAAACCCCTCCCCCCTTCCCCCCCCTATTGCTGTCTTTCCTGTATGGCCAAGACCATCCTGTTCAGTCGAGGTAGTCTTCTTCCATCATCGCTGTTTCCAGAAGCGTTCATATCCATCTTGTAGTTGTTTGGTGGTGGACCAAGTCGGTGTTTGTTTACTGTTAGCAAACCAGATAAAAGTGTCGAGACAGGAAAATCTCTCGATGCGTTTTCTGTGAAGATATACTCCCTTGCACCTTTGGAATCCATCAGTCTCCAGTCATTGATATGTATTCAATTGAGACGAGTTTTCTTCCATCAATAGACAGCTTGGTTGTTTGCTAAGTGATAATATCAAGGTGGGATATTTCCAAGATAATGAAGCACCAACACAGAACCTCTTTTTTGCTCAGGTAAATCCATAGAAAAAGGCCAACCCCAATCAATAATTCCTTGTCTGGTATCTTAATTTGCTCCGCTCTTTCTTCTTTGTTTTAGTCATGTCCGTCCTGCTTGATCAAACTACAATAGGCAAGAAAAACACATAATATTCGGGGTTCCGGGTTGCGGGTTGCGGGTGAAGTTTCCAGGACAGCTGGTGTCAGCCTCGAGCTATCCAACGAGGCATCTATTCCCGAATAGCCAGAAATTCTGTCACATTATCCAAGTGGAAAGCGAAGTCCAAAGGGTGCACGCCAGGTTCTGTATGATGTGTTCCTCAGACAAGCAGCCTACCTCGTCTCAATCACTACGAGGAGCAGGCGGGAAATAACCACACTCAAAGCATTGCTGCAAATTTGGAAATGCTCGCCACCAACTACTCTGACTCGAGCTTCAACGCTCGCTCTACAACTAAAACGTAATGTGTCAACTCCTCGAGTCATCGAGACAAGAGGGATCATAAGTAGAGGATAATTCTCGAGAGAGGTATGCGCAAGAGTGATGTCGTCCGAGATGGACTACGCTCACAAGATTGCTAAGGCCGGGTTCTTCTGCTTTCTACGAGGCTGCGGCTACATGTCATGACTCTGAGCTTCTGCAATCCCCAGATGTTGTTATGGAATGAGCAAAACCAGCTACGTCCCTTGGATCCCAATGGTTCTTGCGCGTGGTATGAGCCGGGGTGCTGCTCCAAAGATGCATTGGGGGCCTTCCGACTTGTGGATTAGAAAGACGTCTACAAGACGAGAACGCGGGCGCTAGAGACAGTGGGGCGGACGTTGGAGACCATCTGATAGGGACACAGCATCGAGCTCGCAATACAGGCCCCCTCTGAAGAAGAACTGTTCAAGGCCAGTCTTTGAAGTATTGACAACTGGGTAGGGATATATCACCGATGAAATCAAACACAATTGGAACAGGACTACCGACGGTGACTTGGGGGAAGAGGGCACTGAATTGACTTAGATCTCCCGAATCAAAAACTGGCTAAAATCTCAACCACAACTTGGTAATGCTTTTGACATGGTCATTGCAAGGAGATGAGCGAAGTGCACACCACGAAAATGTCACATTTCCTGCAGGTTGGAAAGGAGAGTTAGTGCGTCTCCAATCCCTTCCGTCCATACATGGTTATTCAACGTAAGTTAATTTAGGTTAATATGCATTATAAATTTATGTAGCTGGCCAAAATCTATGACCAAAAGGTATCATATTTCCAAACTCGTCGAACCGCTCTCACTTCTTATATACCGACAAGCGGTTGCCATTACCGCAGTACTCCGTGCTGGAGCCCGTACACAACATACTACAATCGCTCAACGGAGCATCAAGCGACGTCGCCGACAGTGCATTACCGCAGTAGCACTCGCCGCCGTACTCCGTCCCAAAGTAGCTATACCCGTCGCAGAACGCCGCGCATGCCTCGTTGGTCATCTTATCGCCGGCCGTAGCCTTGGCATCCAGAGCGCGTCCGCCCTGCGCGGGTTCGGTGCGGCAACCGAGGAAAGCGTAGGCCCCGGCCGTGGCGGGCTGGCTGGGGCTCGTCACTTGTTTGTTGGACTGGTAGAGCGTCAGGCGGTTGCCGCCGCCGCAGTATTCGTACTTGTTTCCGCTGCAGGTCATGCTGCAGTCCGCCAGGGGCGCGGCGGCGCTGGTCGAGGCGAGAGAGTTGCCGCAGTAGCATTCGCTGCTGTATTCTGTGCCAAAGTACTTGTACTCTGAGCAGTACGAGGCGCAGTACTCGAGCGTCATGTTGTCTCCAGAGGCGTAGTTCTTCTGGCTCAGGGCGCGAGCGCCGTTGCCTTCCGTCCAGCAGCCTACCAGGGTGTAAGGTGAGACGGTGGGCTTGTGGGCTAACGTCGGGGAGGTGGTTGTTGAGGTCGAGATTGTGCTGGAGGCAGAGGGTGAAGCCGTTGATGAAGTGACGGCGCTGCTGGAGGACGACGCAATGCTCGATGACGTGCTTGAAGAGGATGCAGCACTACTCGAGGATGAGACGCTGCTAGAGGAACTGGAACTGCTGGAAGACACGACACTGCTTGAACTTGAAGTAGACACCTGCGACGAGGTCGAAGAGCTGCTGGAAGTAACAGAAGCAGATGTCAGAGTAGAAGACGTTGATCCACTCGCCGCCAAGACACTAATGGAGCTTGTTGATGAAGAGCTGCTCGAGGTCGAAGTAGCCGTCGTCGACGCCAAAGTAGACGAGGCACTGCCGACTTTGTACAGCTCCAAGCGGTTGCCGTCACCGCAGTACTGGAATGAGTTGCCAGCACACTTCATGTTACACTCGCTCAGGGGCGCAGTCTTGCTGGTTGCTGCCAGACTGTTGCCACAATAGCCTACTTCCTGTTAGTTCTCATTCATGACCCAAGATACGCTGACCACTTACATTCACGTCCATACTCAGTGCCGAAGAATGTATAGTCAGAGCAAAAAGCAGCACACTTGTCGAGAGTCATGTCATCCGCAGCAGTCTGGGTGGCTGAAAGGGCGCGACCGCCATCGGCCTCCGTCTGGCAGCCGATGAACGAATACTTGCCGATGGTGCTGACGTGCGAAAGAGTAGCCGTGGGAGCGGCCGTGGAGCTGCTGGTGCGAGTGGCGGTGGTCGAGTACAGCTCAATACGATTGCCGGCTCCGCAGTACTGGGTTGAATCGCCAGAGCACTGCATGCTGCAGTCGGCCAAGGGCGCGGCACTGCTAGAGGCAGCCAGAGAGTTGCCGCAATAGCATTCGCGTCCGTACTCGGTTCCCCAGTAGTCGAAGCCCGTGCAGTTTGACATGCAGCTGTCGAGGGTCATGCCATCGTATGCAAACGCGGGACCGTTGAGAGCTCGGCCACCAGAGGCTTCGGTCCAGCAGGAGACAAGCTTATAGCCGCCCATGGTCTGTCGATGGGAAATCGTAGCAGTCGGAGCGGCGCTGGACGTAGTAGATGACACTGTGACGCTACCGCATGTCGCAGATCCCCCCGTCCAGCTCGCACATGTCCCACCGATAGGATCGGCCTTCTTGAACGGATCAATCATGGCGGACGCACCCTCTCCACTGATGAAGTCAAAGGTCGACTCGAAGCTGACACCGCCGGGAATGTTCGTGGTGACGGAGTAAAAGGTGTAGCTGCCTACACAGTCGCCCTTGACCATGTCGACGGTCATCTTACCCAGCAAGGGAACCACGCTGGTCGTCCGCGCTGTCTTGTACGAGATCTCTGCTTTGACCGGGAGAGAGGTGCGGTCGTTGCGAACTGCGGCAACAAGTGTAACATCGCCAGAGTTCTGCGTCAAGCAGCTTTGGGATGTGTGGAGAAAGATGCCGTCCTGGATCGGGTATCCGTTACCGTTGTTGTTAAAAAGCGTGCTCGAGCCGTCGCTCTTGTTGATCGTCACGGTGAAGGAAGAGATGCCCGTGCTGACGGGAATCTCCTGGCTGATGGGATACCAGGAGAAGCTGTCTTCCAAGCCCTTTGAAATACCCGAGATGGTGATTGTGAAGACACAGGAGCCAGTACCGCAGGTAGACCCGCCACTCCGATTCTTATAGTTGATCGTCAGACTCGAGATGCCTGTGATGGCGGTAGTTCGGACGCGGATATAGCCTGTAAGAACCATGACGGTGGGCGAAGTGAGGGAGAGCTGAAGCGCGGACGGCTTTACAGTGTAGGGTGCAATGGCATCGGTCAGGGTAACGCCGGATGGTATGGTGTTGATCATCTTCTCGAAGACAGTCTTGCAGGTAGACTTAAAGACTGTGTTGTCAGTCATGGCCTTCACAGTGGCGTTCTGGTCGGAGCTGAAGACGACGAAATCGGAGTTACTGGCTCGAGCCGTGCCCATTTTGATGACGAGGGGATTCCGCGTGGTGCCATCAAGATATTCGGTCACGACTCTGTTGTCAAAGACGCCGTTTGAGCTATCCATGGGCGCGGAACCGTTCAGATTCGTGCCATCCGGGACGATGGTTGGATTCTCGGCCGTGTGGACGCCGCCGATAGTGTGGCCGCAGGCTGTGGCCTGGATCATCTCCTGTTGACTGAATCCCATGCGAGTAAACTTTGAGTTGAAAACTTGGATGACTTCGTTCGGTAGTGGTACGCCTTGTGCCCCTTTTACGGTTGCGTCGATGCGTCCTGATCGGATTGCAACTGAGGGACCGCCGCACGACAGGACTGAAGTGTACACTCCAAGAGCGATGAGATCCGACATACTGCTTTTGCGGGTCAAGTAATGTGCCATGAAGGTCAGAGTTGTCGAAAAGGCAGGGCCAGTATTCTCGCCGGTGCTGGACAGCTCATACTGAATAGACGCATCCAAACCGCCCACACCTTTCCCTGCGTTGGCCGGTGCCATGTCGTGAAAAGCGGTTCGCAGCCACTCTGCGGCAGTTTGACGGCCGGTCCCCGATGACTCCTTGCTGCAGGGAGAGACGGTGTCGGCAAAATGTCGTGATCCGAATTGGAACGACTGATACATGATCTCTTCCAGCTCGTCAATGTCCGAGGGCCATGTCGGATCAGCCCGGGCCCGTGAGGCCAAGCCTAGCAGGCTCAGCAGTATTGAGGTGTTCACCTTCATGGTGATATGATACCCCGACTACGAGGAGTTCAAATTACAAAATGTAGTGCAAGCGAGTGACTTGGTTGTCCGTGAAAGTGACGGTTCGACCTTTGGATTAGGGCACTAAACAGGCAGATATGCCCAAAGAAAGTAGAAAGGGTCTATAGTAGAAGAAGACGGATCGAGGGAGGTGAGAGAAAAGAGAGACGAGATAGTGGCCCTTGGCCGTTAGATATGAGAGACATGGTATGAGACGACACCAGAACCGCGGAGGAATAGACAAAGAGATGCGGCAACAACTTTTTGCCAACATAGAAGAGCTGACCGGCGGAACCGTGGCGACCTGACCGCAGGAGACGGATGATCTAGGCACTCTGGGCAGGCCTAGGCTGTTGTGGTAGGACTCTATCGCCAGCAAGGGCAGTAGTCTCCGTGTATGCGTAGTGTAGCGCCAAAAGAGGATGGCGGCACAGCCTGATCTTGCCCTGGTCTGTGACCCGTGGAAGAGTGAGTGAGGCCCGAGTGGATGGGAGGCAAGTTCCCTAGTGAAAGTCCCTTGAAGTGAGATTGATGGTAAGGGTGAGAAATTGAGAGTGAGTTCTTCGTATTTTTGGCAAAAATTGCCAAGGGTGCCGGGACCCCTCTTTCCCTTTCCGAATTAGTGCAAACCTCGCATTGGATAGAGCAAGATAAACTGGACAATGAAGCCGTCGTGATTGGTCGCGGGCATTTTGTGGCTGCTGTCGGTGCCAGCCGCAAACCCAGGGGTGCCGGGGTGACGATCCCCTGCCCCTGAGCACGGCTTACTTCACTTAACCTTAATCGGTTGGTTCGAGTCTTCGAGATACCCTCCAAAGGTCTTTCTGGAGAGGAAAATGGCCCAATGGTGCGTCGAGCAGTAATTTACATCCCGACATTTTGGGTGGTGGTCTTGGCCTGGTCAGTTGATGTTCGGAAGGTGGGAAAAGCCCCCCTTCTCGGCGCTCCCTCAGCAGGCCGAGTCAGCAAGCACTCTTGCACTTTGAAGACAGCGAGCCGCGAGCGTGACTTCTCCGCTCGTTCGTGTGTTTGGTGTGGCATCCTTGCCCCTGCCCTGCCCTGCGTTGCCGATACCAAACTATTGATGCCATGTCAACCATGGCGCTCCAGCTGATGATGCAGAACGCATGCATTTCTTGTCTATATTGCAGCTTGCGTAATGCTATGGATCCCATACGCAGGATCTTTATCAATCCCGGGACCCGATGATAGCGCAGAAGGGTTCAAGCGGAAGATCCGATCAGGACACAGACTGTTTGGCTGATGATACCTCGCGGATCGGCTCCGACGGCAAATCCAGAACGTCTATCCGTATTCATGTGTATCGTTTTGGACGTTGGCGACACACGAGAAGTAAGCAGCCATTGATACAACGACTGAGGAGTCTTCGGAGAGGAACAAGACAAGGCTTCAAAAACCGCCTTTCCTGGTACCGCGTCAGGTATCTTCGAGTCAGGGAAACCGATATCTGCTCGCATGTCTTGTCAACACTCGATCCCCTCTCCCGCTGTCATCCCATCACGACCATTGCCAAGACGTTCTTGCCATGTCGAAGTCTGCCCAGCTTTTGTTTCTCCACTTGAAATGGGAACGGGCTTCACATGGACAGGTACTTGCAGACTCCTTCAAATTGCGAGGGCTACAGTTGTCATGGCGGCCGACTGTGGCTTCTGTTAGTGGAAACGGACTATCGTTTTTCGCCGCAATGTGGGAAGGGGCAAATAAACTGTCAAGCTAGCCCTTCCCCACGACCCGAGCGCCATAATCTCAGAGGTAGCGCGCGGTTTGCCCACCTGCTCGGCGTCGTGATTCGGTTCGTGTTGTCCCTTACGGCAGGAAGGGACAAAGAATCTCATCCCCACATTGAAACCTCACCGACTGACTGCTCAGGCAACGGTAGCAAGGCCGAACAAAGCCAAACACGGACAAACACGCCAGGCCATGCGAGACAACAACCTATTGTGGGCTTCACAAAGAGACTTCAATGGCCAAGGATAGCCGCCAAGTCGCACCGCGCTGGAGACAACCCACGCGCTCGATTCGAAGAGTACTCGTTCCGATGTTCCACCTTGTGCGCCCGCCAATACGGAAAATGGCTTAACATCGTGTTGAGAAGCATCATCCGGCGGCGGCTGGTTCGCTGCTGCCTCCAAGAGGTTCTACAAAGGTGATAGGCGGCCAGGAAATGTCGGAAGGCGCCGGCCAACTACCAAGAGGAAACACGGCAGGAAAGTCCTTGACATCGGCATTATCGATGGTGATCTGATGCAAATGGCCGGCCCCACACAAGGGTTCCGGTACGGGGCACCATGTGCCGGGACTTCGGTGCCAGCTAAGAAAGCGGGGCCGTCGTCGTTCGTCGAGCCCTTCACCCACTGATCCAACGCCGGTATTATACGGCCAATGTTTTGAAGCCAACACAAGGCTGGAATTCAGTGAGTGCAACAGGAGAGTTATCGACAATCTTGGACAGCCACCCGCAGCCTACCGAACGCCCCTTCGGAAGCCTGCCTGGAAGGCGCACGATCCGAAGTGCCCATACTCGGAAGGCATTCAATCCCGCAAGACATTACACAGACACAAACGGCGTCTCATCTCGGGATTTTACGGCTCCCTTGCAACTTGATATGATTGCCCGGTAACACTAAAGGTTGACGACCGTGATGTTTTTTCTAGATGCGAGGGATGTCACCGTCGAGTGGAAAGTCAGCTCTCAGGCGGACCCTTCTTGCCCACCACGAACCCATGGAATACTTCTTTCTACCGGTGGTTTTCTCCGCGGGCCGAGGCACCTCGCTTGCAATCGACATCTTAGATTTCCGTCGAAATCGTCCGATCGTCGACAGCTTAAAAGCCGCCGCTATGATTGTCGTCGGCGCTACCCGTCAGACAATGCGTCGATGAAGCAGGCAATGACATAATGTGACCGGGTTGAGAGCTCTGAGCACCAGACTGACTAGACATCTAGTCCTAAACGACCTAGAGTCCGTCGTCAACATGGTGAAAACTGGTGACTGGAAGAATCGCACCGACTGCGCTATTATACACACACTGACTACCTACACAATTACCAGTCGCTAATTGCCTCCTTAGACGCAGCAGCTATCTACCATTACTACAAAAAAGTGATGCTGTATTTCTAGCAAGTAGGTCTCTCCACGGTCTGAGGAAACCCTGACATGATCAGGGGAAACGCCCGGGACCGTGCAAATCCACAAAAAACCTGACAGCGGGAAGAACAACTCTACACGAAACTCGATGGAGAAAGACGTGCCCATGGCTGCATTGCCTCTCATCAATTATCTCATTCGTAGTAGCATCGCCCTTGCAATTGGATGACGGCCCGCCAATGATCTTCAACAGCCTAGACCAAGCCTTCAACCCGAGACATACTAGAGCGACGCGTACACTTTGTAGTATACATGAGCACATAAGGTAATGGGCTGGCCAGACCGAGACAGAGACAGGACCAAAACCGGATCCAGCGGGTCGAACGCAGTCTCAAATTGAAGAGACAGATTCCAGATGTGACAGGCGTTCGAAGTGTGGATATCGTCAACCTTCGCAGTCGGCTAGTATGGATAGACGCTGGGAATCAGCCATGAATCCGAGAAGCGAAGCATCTCGCCCCGAGAACCGCCAAAAGGGAGACCATCCCGGAAAAGCCGAAAAACTCTGCCGTTCTTGAATTCTAGCCGTCTTGAACATGAAGCATCCCAGGGGCCCCACGACTCTGTGGTATGCTGTAGTTTTTTAGTCATGAACACCACCTTTACAGCGTCAACATGGGGCCTAGCAAGTAGCAACATCCCGTGCGAGCCGATGAAAAGTGAAGCCAAACCCTGGCACGCCTGGCATGCAAAGCTGGGGGCAGTGGAAACTCTCAATCACAAGTCACAGAACAAAAAAAGGCGAAAGGTAAAATAGAAAGACCCCTGGGAAACCGAGCGATCCCGATCCCCACACCTTCCAGGTTCAGTCATTCGCCCCGCCAAAGCCACAAACGACTCCATCACCGTGGCCGTGCCGGCCCTCCGGCAGAGAAGAAGGTGGAGAAGCCGTCCTCACTTCGGCCCAATCACACCGACGCCTGCCACTCCAAGACGCCTGACATCATGGGTCCCCACTTACCCATAACCCCCCCATCAGCCACAACGGCCTCCGTCATCAACCTGCAAACAGCGCCCCATACCAAGAACCTGACGCCTGTCCTCCGTCATTGGGTGATTTTTGGCTTGCGAACTTGGGGTGGTGTGTGGTGAATACACTGACTGTGTGTCCGTTGGGACGTAAAGAACATGTTCCAGGAATAAACGGGGATGGGCGGAGACAAAACCAAGACAAGCTTGAACAGCGCTGTACCTTGCCACGATCTACGCAACGGACGGGATCGGGCAGTCCATTTACCGGCAGACGGAGAGAGAGGCAGCCCTTGGCAACCCTTGTTTCCTTCTTTTCGAGTTGTAACCTTTAATTCTTAAGGGTCTCGAACTTCCCCCCATTCGTTCACCTTGACTCTATCTCATCTCACCTCACCTTCGGTATCCCAGGGTGTGACTTGAACAACAAAAAGGAAACCCGAACAAAGTCACCAAACAAAACAAGAAAAATCCCCGAGTCTACCGAACATACAACCACCCCATCGAATAAAGCCACAACCCGAATCGCAACAATGGGCTTCGCATTAAAATTCCTCCAGTGGTTCATCCGCGGCGTCCAGCTAGGCTGCTCCATCCTCATCCTCGCAATCTTCTCCTACTTCCTCGCGACCCTCCACAACCACTCTCTCCCGATATCGACCTCCATCCGCGCCGTCGAGGGCATCTCCGGCGCCGCCACCCTCTATACCTTGGTCGGTCTCCTCTTGCTCTGCTGCCTCGCAGGCCTCGCCTTCACCTCCTTCATCGCCATCGTCCTCGACGTCGCCTTCATCGGCGCCTTCATCTACGTCGCCGTCGCCAACAAGGGCGGCGCCGGAACCTGCTCCGGCACCGTCAGCACACCCTTTGGCGACGGCCCCGCCGACGGAGAGCCGACCAATACGGGAAGCGACGGGTGGACTCACCTCCCCAGTCTGCGCACGGCTTGTAAGCTGCAGACTGCCTGCTTTGCCGTCTCCATTGTCGCAATGTAAGTATATTATTGCCGTACGCCAATCTTCAGGAACACAGCTAACATGTGAACCAGCTTCTTCTTCATCTTCTCCATCCTCGTCGAGGTCGCCCTTGCCCGCCACCACCGCAAGGAGAAGCGCTTCGGTCCCAGCCCCAAGAACAACTACACCTCAGGCTCGGGCTCCAAGCCCGGTTTCTTCAGCAGCTTCCGCCGCCGCGGCCGCGCCGACACCGTGATCAACGACAACGCTCTGCCCATGCACACCAGCCCCGACCAAGTCCGCCCCAGCTACGCGACTGAGACCACCGCCGTCGCTCAGGACGCCGGATACCCCAAGTATGAAGACGCCTACGGCAACACCACCACGGCTACTGGCGGTGCCAACGGCTATGAGTACGGTCACGAGACTGGCACCACGCAGCCGCCCCCTCGGCACTACAACGATGGTGTTTACGACAGAGTCTAGACACGAGTGAGACAGAAACAGAAGCATTGGTACGAGACCACATAATGAGTCAAGACAGAGTACGGAAATGAAGCTGGTCTAGGTTGGCAAATATACCCAGGGAATTGAGGAGTTTTGTCGTCGCTTTCTCAGACGATGGCCGTTTGTTGGAATTTTAGTTATGAATCAACCAATCAAATGAAACACATTGAACCAATCATGCACAGACTGAGCTTGTATCACCAGAATGATTTTCTTTTGATCGTGACTGCATTCGTACACGTCATAAACTGCGTTTGAACCTTTGTGAGGCCAATGAGGTAGACCATGCCTAGGTAAATATATATCCCGAATAGGGTTGCCCGGCACCGAAGTTGAGCCTTTTAATAACCTAATCCAGACACTCGCCAAGTGTCAGCATACCTCGTAACTTTGTCGCTCAGGGTAGTATCAAGGCCATCCGGCCGCATCGTGCTCCCACTCACTGTTTGCGCCGTCGTCGGCCCCAACATCCGCCCAATTCATGTCTAGCTTCTCCAACTCCCTTGTGAAAAAGTCTTGCTCCTCGCGCAGGGCAGCCCGCAGCTCGGCTGCGATCTTGTCTGGGTATCGCCGCACATTGAACCAGTGCGTCAGACTGCGCAGCGCCTGCTCCAGTGGCAGCGCCGAGTCCACCTCGGCATCGACGTCGCTGCCAGCCAGCCATTCGTCACGCAGTTCAGGTCGGCAGTGTAGGTATACTGCCGTGATGACGCGCATGTTGCTCTGCCGCCACTTACGGCCGCAGTAGGGTACTTGGTTTTTGAATAGCTTCAAGGTGTACAGTCGGAGTTCTGGCTGAGGAATCTTGAGGGATTTGCGTAGAATGTTGGCAGACTTGTACTGCACCAGGAGAAGGTTCCGGTGGGCCTTATGCTTGCAAATCTTTTGCATGATTCGGAGGTAGTTGATCAACGAGAAGAAGTTTCTTCTCGAAAAATCAGTGATGGGCTCTGCTGGCAGGTCGCCAACGGGATATCCGAGCTCATCAACTTCAGGTCGTACCGCAGCTTGTCCTTCGAGCTTACTGGTGTCATCGCCATCGCGGGTGGCGGCGGTCGCAACGCGAGGCGGGGACCGTCTTCTCTTGATAGGCGGTGGCGCAGCCTCGTCCTCGCTCTCCTCCTCGTCCGGCTCTGCCTGTACCGGCGACTTTTCCTTGAATTTCGAGCGCAGATTGCAAAAGTGAAAGAAGCTAGTTGGTCAGCTTGAGTCACGTAAGGTTTGGCAGTATTACACACCTGTTCTCCAGCCGGTCTGTCTTGCTGTCAACAACTTGTTGAACATCCTGGTGGGCGAATAGCTTGAGTACTAGCGGGAGGTAGTTAGAATCCAGCAAAAGTTGCGTCATGTATTCGGATTTCAGAACGTCTGCGGCTAGGTCAGTTAATGCCTCGAGTAAAAGCAAGAATACTCACGGGAGACTCTGAGCCACTTCAGCAGAAGCAGTAGAATGCCAGTTATAGCCTTTGTAGTGATTTCCCGGGATCGCGCAGCATCGACCTCTTCCGGCGACATCTCAGGTAGCTCTGGAGGGCCTCCTCCAGCTGAAGAGGGGTCTTGGGGCTGCTGTTGTCTGTTAGGCCCAGCGCCGCCGTTCATACCCCCATTGACACCTCTGCCGGCCATGCTCGGATGTTGTTGACCTTGCGGAGGTTGCGACAACACGGCGGTGACGTTCATAAGTATCGGCCTCAATAGGACGATTACAAGTGACTGCAGATGAGGAAGTGATTCTCTCTGTCAAAGTGTCAGTCAAACTCAGCTAGAAGTGCCAAAATACCCACGTAGAAGCTTTCGACAGCAAGCAGACGCCGCTTGATCTCATCGTTCACTTTATCTGCCGAAGGGCCGCAGTCAATTTCGGGCTCTCGCATCGAAAGCTGCGCTTCTCTTCGCTCCTCGGCCTTGGTCTCCGCCTTGAACGCAGCAATCTCCTGCTTCTCTTCAAGGCTCAGCCCCTCCAGGTCAAGATTATCAACATCGCTGTCGTCGCCATCTGCTTCCCACCCTCTCTCGAACCTGAGGAAGCTTTCCCGCTCTTCCCACAACTGTCGCGTAGCGCGGGTCATGCGTACCCTCTTTGCAAACAATTCGCCCGCCTCCAAAATAGACGCAGGAATATCACTGCCCTCCCATCTACGACCGACAAGCTGTTCTTGCAATCCAGCTCCACCTTTCCCACCAGCACTGTTGCTTGTGGCATCTAGAGGTGGGTACATGAATGGGAAATTCTGGTTCGTCTGGTAGTTTTGCTTTTTTCCGCCCTTACCACCAACACCAGGAGATGGGGGCGGTGATGGAGCGGGCGTCGCAATGTGCACGGGTTGATGCAAGATAGAAGCGCCACCGCTCTGTGAGGTGGGTGGTCCTGGGAAAATCCCATTGGCTGCGCTGGTTCTGGTCGGCTGATTTGGTATGGGTGGAAGAAGGGTCGTGTTCTCAGGTTCCAGGGGAATGAGTGTCCGCGGAGGGACATAGGCTGGATACTTGGACGTGAGCTCTTGCCGGAACACATGGTAATCTAGAGGTGATGCTGTGATGAAGTCCTTGGACTTTGCATTGGGCGACTCGTTTGTTGCCTTTTTGGCCTCGTCTATCTCTTGGGTGCCGCCGAAGACGAGCAGAATGGTTTTCCAGAAGAGCAGAAAAATCTATACCTGTTAGTCGGGATCGCGCGCGGCATCACTAATCGTACCTGGCTGGATGGCATCAGATTTCCATCGTCCCAACGCAGCTTCGAGGTTGCAAGCGACATGAAATCAACCAGTCCAGGTTTGAGAGAAACTAACAGCAGTCAGTCGAGTCTTTACCAGATAGGTATGTTGAGTGCGTGTTGCTTACGAAGCTCGGATCTGGTGGCCTCCAGTTCCTTGGGGAAGCTCAGTGCCTCCTGAATAATGACATACATGATGGTCATGAGATTAATTAGTTCATCCTGGGCCTCTTGGGCGCCGCCGGGCTGGACAAGGCGAGCATCATCCGACCTGGTTGAATTAGCCAACGACTGATACGATGCCAGAGTCACTCACCAAAACACATCAAAACAACTTTGCAGAGCCGACCAAACAGTATTAATGCCGTCCAAAGACGTCAGAAAGCTGATGCTTGATCTGATAGCCTCCAATTGTGTCGCACTGGCAGCTGACCTCCTGTCACCCACAGTAGCCGGTGTTGACGTATCGCCCCATCGCCCAAGCACCAGGTACAGAACTTTGCCAATAT